ATGTCCCTATTGAAATAAAGAGCTAGGAATTATGTCCTCTAGGAGATGTGGACGTAAAGGGATGTAAATTTTATATGCTAAATACTTTAGGAACCCATCTTTAACTATAGCTATATTTTCACAGGTTGGCCTTCAAGTTATAAATAGAATTAGTACCCTTGCTTTTCAAATATGGCTTGATATATAGTAAGAGAAGTTAGTGGTAACATTACTATCAAATTTCAAATTAAATAAATTATAAAATCTATAAAAATAAAATTATATTAAAAAAACTTTTAATTTGTAATATATAATATCTTTAATTCTTTACTATATATTAATATAATTATTGTTATAATTTATTTGTTAATATTTTGATTTTTATTTTAATATATTAATTTTATTAAAAATTTTATAAAAATAAAGAAAATAATAATAATAAAATTTTTTGTTTAATATATAGTATTATATCTTGTTTTTTCAATTTTTTACTAATTATTATTAAGGTTTTTGTTAATATATGTATCTAAATATAAATATATAATTAACAGTTGTTATAAATTGTAAGAGTTTAAATATATTAAAATGGTTTAAACAATGAATTTATAATTCAGCAAAAGAAAATTATAAAAAAAAATATAAATGTTTTATTAGAAAATAATTATTTTATTAACTCAAAAGTAAAGTACAAGTCTGAATTTTTACAAAAGTAGAAAGACACTCTTATTAAAAATATTTTTATATAAAAAATTTTATCATAAAAAATGTTAAATTTCAAAAAAAAAAAAATTTAATAAAAAATTTTTTAATTTTCATTATTTTTATTATTATTTTTTGCATAAAGCATTTTGAAAGTTGACGACAATAATATGTCAATTTTCATTATTATTATTATTATTTGACATGTGACCTTTGCTTCACGATATAGCATATATACTCGACTATATTCATCATATACTGTACGTGCTTATTTTTTCGCCCGCAATCGAATAATAAATAGCCAGGTCAAATGCCTATTAATCACGACGAGTCGACAGTCATGAAATCTGAGACAATCAGATTATCAGCCTTTCTCGCAGACTGTCTTTCCTTGGGTTGTCTCGAGGCATAAAAGCAAATTTTAAAATTTCTTTGTATAGGCATTTTTCAAGTATAACAAAGTACTAAAAAGAAATTGTTATAATTCTAGGGCTTTAAACATTTTGAAGTTTATTTGAGAGGTCGTGAGGAACTTTTATTGCTAGTTCACATCGATAGCAAACAAAAATCAAAAAAGATCACAGGCTACAACTCTCTGTCACTTGCCAAGTCTCAGTAAGTTTTTGGATTTTAACAATGATTTGGAACGATTGATTCATTTGAACTAATTGATGATAAATAATATCTTATGATGGTTTTATTGTAGAAGCAATGCCCTATTTTCACCAAAGACGCGGCAAATGTGAGCTCATTGTCTTATAATGAGAATTGATTTATTTGATCCGATTCTATTTTGAAATTTTGCAAAAAAAAAACCAGACTCAACAATATATCAAGCTATGCGGATACGGAGCTTCCGCCATTCAGTCCTTTAGACAAAGAGCTGGCAATGGTAAGCAATATCATGATACTTTCTGATTTCTTTTTTGGAGGAGTGAGGTAGTCTCAATTCGATGAAATCAATACTATACCTTTATCATTATTGATAGGATGAGTCTAATCATGTTTTTCTGATAGCTGGATATCCAAAATATAAATGTCCTTATGTT